ACGCAAATTGGAAACTTCAAACACTTTTGAACGACTGGAGATGGATTGGACCGTCTCCTTTCTCTTGAGCCTTGAGGGTTTGTCAGGCTTTCCTTTTCCTCATTAAATCAGCCTTGATGGCTTCACCGTCTGTGTTTCTGTAGACATCACACTCATGTTTATCCCCCTATTCCCAGTGCACGACCAAATTAGACTTAAAGTTTAAAGTGTTGCTCTTAAAGGCAACTTTGCCACTTGACAACTGTCCTAAGGCTAATATTCTAAGTTTTACAAGTTTTAAAGGTAAAATAGAGATGGATCAAGTCTGCTTCCTTTCGTATCATGGCTACTAAAGTTGGACCTCACAAACAAAATGGATTCAAACAGGGCAGAATTTATTTTTCGTCTACAAGATACCTCTTCCAAAAGGAAAAGCTACAGAAATGTTCTGGCAGTGCTATAGGGGTTTGTTTATAATATAAGAACAATGGCTTGTACTGTTTCTCCTCTTTGAACCTCACTGGGAGGTGCAGCACAGGAATCATTTAGTTCACATTCTACAGAGACTCTTTTTATGGGGTGTATCCAGATATTTTTTTCTAGAAATCAGCAATAATATTCATTTTTAATATTATTTTTTATTTATGCAGACATAAAAATGTTAGAAAAATAGGTCATCCCTCTTGGGGAGCTAGAACCTGAGGGAAAAAGGGGTGTATGGGTAATTTACGATCTGGAAAAACTTTTGAAACGATTTACGCAACACTGTGTGACATAGACTGAAAATGCGTGTGTTTGTACTAGCCTGGCTATATTAATTGTAATGGTTGAATGTCTGTGTTTTTGTCGTGTGGACTTTTAGTTTTTAGTTCTACCTGGTTTCTTGTCTCTTGTTATTTCCCATTGTTTTTACCTGTGTCTTGTTACCAATTAGCGCTTCTGTATATACAGTATTGTAAGCCTTTGCGTTGCTAGTGTTCTTTGTCAGGGCTCACGGGTGTATTGTTTGATGAGCTTAGATCACCATGATAAACTTCCTCAGTTGATTACCTTCACAAGTATATATATATAAAAAATGTATTATAAGTTTTTGAAATTTGTATGTTTAATTATGCAAATTAGCCATTATCTCATTAAGTATGTGCAATTGTGCATATATTTTCTGTATATAGATCTGAACATTTGATAAAGCCTGGTGCAAAATTATATTTTTTCATTTTGTTCACACACAAGATGAAAAAAAAGTTTAGAGGGATTTCAGGATATATGCTTTCATTACCTAGGAAATCCAAACATACTGTCCATAGCCGTATAAAAAATAGATTTTCACCATATTTTTTTATTAAAATGTGACATAATTCAGGCCAGGGATGATTTGTTAACAAATCCCTCTGAAAATATCTTCAGAATACTGTTAAGTGTATAACTGGAAAGTTTGGTGTTCATAGGTGCTACGTACATAGGCTGAGATATATGTACTGGAGAATGACAAAAAATAATTTTGAGGAAAAGGCATTTAAAGATTAGGAGATGTAGGGAATTTAATACATTTCAATTGGAAAAAAATGCTCAAAAACAGAATAAATGCTCAGGCCCTTAGTAATAAAAATATATAATATTTCAAGCTCATGAAAACTGATTATTTAATAACATGGCTGGCATATAAGGCCTACAACTGCAGTAACTCAATGAATTAACATTGGCAGAGAACACCACGTGATGCGTCTGAGCGAATCATGTTCGCAGAAACCACAGCACTAGCCAATGAGATTTTGTCATTACTTTAAATCACCATTTGGACATTCACGATTGGTTACTGTTAGAAAGGAAATGCCCATATTTGGGTTACATAGCGTTGTGCAGGAGATTCAGAGCTTTACAACGATACCGGTCACGACACAGACCTCAGTAAACAGACGGAACGTGGCAGCATGACGCGCTGGAATGCTAACTTGGTAAATTCGAGAGAAATTTACTGCCGCAAGTGAACAAAATGTAATAAAATAAACATCTTAATCATGTATATTTTCAACATTTTTCTTTATAGTAGCTTGAAAGAACACATATTGAAGGTGTATACTAGCCCAAAACTCAAAACTGATCACTGCATGAAAAATCTGTGTTTTTGCCTGCCGTGTCTCGCCTTAATTCTGTTTCTCTGTTCCTTCTGTATTATATAATTTCAGACACAGCGTTTGGATCCAGTGCTACATATTTTCTGACATATCATTGGTGCTCTAGTGAGAGATATTTTTTAAAAATATAATACAATTGAAAGGTTCATAATTTGGCTAAATCATGTTTTTCATTAAATCTATAAAATCTTCTGTGAAGATTAGGTTGATGTGAGTATAAAATATCACTTGGCTTCTGGGATGCAACTACCACCAATTAGAGCATACATGGATGACATGACAACCATGACTACAACAGTAGCTTGCACTAATCTGTTATTGGGTAAGTTAACCGATTATATTGAATGGGCATGAATGCAATTTAAGCCCTCTAAATCAAGGGCTTGCATCTCGATAGTTAAAGGAAAGGTAGTAGATAAAACATTCTTCATTAATGGTGAGTCAATACCAACAGTTTCTGAGTGAAGAGTTTTGGGAGATGGTACGATGGGGATCTAAAGGACACAGTTCGAGTGGGAGAAGTTAGATGGCAAGCAGTGGAAGGGTTGAGGAGCATAAACAGCTGTGCTCTACCAGGCAAACTAAAACTAAAAAAGTGCTTTCAGTTTGGTCTACTGCCGAGGTTGCTGTGTGTGCCACTGACTGTGTATGAGGTTTCTTTGACAACAGTGGATAAGCTGGAAGCATTAAAGGGTTAGTTCACCCAAAAATACAGTATTTGCTCACCCTCATGTTGTTCCAACCACGTAAGACCTTCGTTCATCTTCGGAACACAAATTAAGATATTTAAGATATTAAGATCGCTCCTGCATACAGTCCATAGGCTTCTTGAGGGACTGGCTCTTGCTGTCCTCGAAAAGTCATTAAAGACATCGTTAAAATAGTCCAAGTGACTACAGGGGCTCAATCTTTAGTTTATCAAACGACGAGAACACTTTTGTGCGCAAAAAAAACAACAAAAATAGCGACTTTATTTCAACTATTCACGTCCTTCTCCATGAGCCTGTAAGTCAGTTAACGTAGTGTGATTGCGTAGAGCTACGTCACACGTAGGCTTACTATTGGCCGACACTGGTCATGTGTGTGTGATGCGTGTGACGTACAATAACAGAAGCTTACGCTATTAAACTAGTAACCTGACTCGCGCAGAGGGAGAAATAAACGAATAGTTGAAATAAAGTCGTTATTTTTGTTGTTTTTTTGCGCACAAAAGTGTTCTCGTCGTTTGATAAACTTAAGATTGAGCCCCTGTAGTCACTTGGACTATTTTAACGATGTCTTTAATGACTTTTCGAGGACAGCAAGAGCCAGTCCCTCAAGGAGCTGCAGGAGCGATCTTAATATCTTAAATATCTTAATTTGTGTTCCGAAGATGAACGAAGGTCTTACGGGGTTGGAACAACATGAGGGTGAGTAAATACTGACAGAATTTTCATTTTTGGGTGAACTATCCCTTTAATAAGTTCGTACATTAGGAAATGGTTGGGAGTTTCACGCTGCCTCAGCAGAGTGGGACTTTATAGTAAAGGAATATTGCAGCTGTCGGTCTCTGCTTTAACCAAGGAGTTTAAGTGTGCCATGGTCAGACTGGAAATGACCTTAGTAGAGTCACGCGACAAATGTGTAAGGGATATCGTGGGACAGGTACAGCATGGAAGAGAGGGTTTTGGGAGGGGGGTGACTCTGGGACGCCAGAGTCGAGCTCTCTTGAGGTGTCGTGGGCTAATCGATGAAACACTGAGGATAGAAGGTGCCCATTTGAAGACCCTAGAGATGTCTCCTACTCTGCTCAATCCAGACGATTGTCGTGCTGGTCCACTGGGGAGACCACACTGAAGTTGCAGCCGTAGTGTATGCTGACGCGCCAAGTACACTGCAGCCGTTAATGCCAGACAGAATGAGATTCACATCACCATATGGAAGGAAACTACGCTTTAGTCTGTGCTTATCTTGGCGAAAGCCGAGTACAAATCAGCATGAAGTTTTAACATCTACTCTCGTGTAATGGAAATCATAAAATAAACAAAAGGACTGTCTTGAGAAAATGCAATAAAACATGAGTGAAAGTAAGCATAACATAAAGCACATAAAAGGGTGTAAGAATGTGCTATAAAAACAAGACATAGTTCCCAAGACAGCGTTGACGTTGACTAAATTCTTTGTAGTTTTAGATTCTTTATATAATAGGTTATTCAGTTATCAGGACAAGCAAGGTTTCATCATACATTGACTTGGGAGAACATCCCTTTCTATTGTATACATTCAACAGGGATACTAAAACCCCCTTTCCATTAGAGCAGTGACGTCAAGTAACAAGCTACTCCTATATCCAGGCCCCTCTCAACCCTGCATGGTGGGCGTTCTTTACACAATTAGACCTGTACAGTATATTTTCAAAACCAATTTTTGTGTGAAGATGAACATTTTTTACACTATTCTCTTGGAGTATGACTTGAAATAGAGGACGTTTTAACAATGGATGTTTTGTATGTTGGAGATTTAATAAGATTTATCCTTAAAGGTGCTTTATTTAACTTTTCTTCTAAAATGAATCCTTTTTTATTGCACGTGTGTGAAGTGGTTGTAATCACACATTACAATGATCCACTTGTCGGGTTTTGCTATTACCTCTGAAGGCCAGCATTCCTATTTGTATGTGAAGTCTCCGGGTTGGAAATCCATTGGATGTGACGTGCACACGTCCTCCCGAGCTTCTCTCCTTTTTATGTAGTGCACAACACTACATATCTCTAGAAATAATGTTATATTATTCCAAAATACTTTAATTAAAATATGTAAACAAAATGTGCCATATACAGTAACAATGCCTTTATTACAAAATATCAAATTAGGACAGTACTTTTCATACCATTTCTCATCCTCCAGGCGTGGAGTGCTGCACATTCATGAGAGTAAAGGCATCGGTGACCTAGGTGTTCCTCGCTGGGAGCTCTGCCTCTGCCTTATTGTGGTCGTCTTTATCCTCTACTTCAGCCTGTGGAAGGGAGTCAAATCCTCTGGAAAGGTACAAAAACTCTCAAATGATAATAGCAGGAAATAGCTGTTTGATTTGTCCGTTCCTGTAAGTCATGTGTCTAATACTTTTCTCTCTCTTTTTAATAATAATATTTTCAATTTATGTAGCACTGTTCATTGTAAAGTTATGTCAAATCAATGGGCAAAAATGGACAGAGCTTTATTTGTGTTTGTTTAGGTGGTGTATATTACAGCTACTATGCCCTACATAGTGTTGTTGGTGTTGCTGATTCGAGGCATAACTCTCCCTGGTGCAATGAATGGAATTAGGGCATATCTCCACATTGACCTAAAGAAGCTCAATAACCCTCAAGTAAGTTCATGCCAATAGGGCTCAACTTAATTGATGAACTATCCAGATATACATTATATCATGGACCTAAAAAAAAATAGTCACAACGACATACTTCTCTTAGATGGATTGTCACTCATTTTTGTTTGCTGCAGGTGTGGATTGATGCAGCTACTCAGATTTTCTATTCTCTAGGAGCTGGGTTTGGAGTCCTTATTGCCTTCGCTAGCTACAATAAATTCGACAATAACTGCTACAGGTATGACAAGTCTTTGATACATGTGGTAAGTTCTCTAAAACTATAACTAAAAAGAATTTCCAAATTCTTCTTTAGTGGTCGCTAAAAACAGGTTCCAATGTAAGCAACATATTCTTACATAAAGGCTTATGTTGATTTGTTGCTTGATCTGTTAGCCCATGTCCATGTAGTCAACTGAGACTGTGAAACTCTGGCATTGCTTGCTTATGGGTTGAAGTTCTCATGGAAAACCAACATGCTGTTTCCAGAGACAAACACGTAGTTGTTGGTGGGGCCAGTAAGTGGCAATCAACTTGTAGCCGTTGTGGATAATCTGTTGAGATTATCAGGATGTCAACATCTTTCACTACTGAATCTCATAATACTCAATTATATCACTAGACTAATTCATTTTAGAGCTTTTATTGCAGAGGAGGAAATTAGAAGAGGTGATAATTGTCTGGGTGAGGATGAAAGAATGGTGTTTTAAATACGTTTGTCAGTTAAAAATCAATTTGTAAATTGGTAAACAGTTTAATTGGTCACAAAAGGCTTGTGGATGAGGTGATTCATTCCATGAATGAAGTGTTTTGAAAGTGTGAAGAGGCAACACAGATTAATTGATTTATTAATTTAAAAGTAAGTGCCCACTTTGGTTAGATTGTGTTAAATGGCTTAAAAGCATGCTTTTGATGCCTATTAAATGCATACATCTGAAGAATGTTAATGACTTACAGTAAGCAGAATTGATTTCACATTGATTTTGATGTTCCAACATATTTTTGCTCTCCAGGGCATAGATGTTTTACTAAGACTCAAAATCTACAGTTATTTCAAAATAGGACATAATGTTGCAAGCAGATGGCTACTCAGATTTATGTGCTTCTTCACAGACTACACTAAATGGTTCCACCTTAGTTCACACACTTTGAAATGTTTCAAATCAGACATGATTTGTTATAATCCTCCTCCTTAGACCTTTTGTTTGGTTATGGATTGGGCTATTGTAATGTCTAGTCCTTGCAACTGGCAAAAATTGTGGGACCATGGAAACAAGGTTTAAATTAAAATGGCAAACCTGAAACTTCACAGTTCTAGCTTTGCACAGGAACAATCTAAATGCGTCTTGATAGAGATTTGAGTGGATCCACAATGGCGTTTAACCACAGCTTTGGCATCGACTCACTGTGGGTTTTAAGTGTTTATGTCATAGATCCTTCTCAGCAAGTTTTGTGACTTAAGATGTACACTTTCATTTTATGTTTTGTTGCAGGGATGCTCTTCTGACCAGCACAATAAACTGCATAACCAGTTTCTTCTCAGGATTTGCCATCTTCTCAGTACTGGGGTATATGGCTGAACAGCATGGTGTCAACATAAAGGATGTGGCTACTGAGGGTCTGTTACTCCCACATCTTCACTGTCCTGTCTTTTTTTTATGCTGTGTTCAACCTTTTAAGGTTTCTCAGGTTTACCCTGTGTACTTTTTTTTTTTTTGGGGTTAACCAGAGTGTGACCCTAAAAAAACTTTTTTTTATATGGGTCTGTATCTTCTGCTGATCTGTGTTTTTAATTGTTTAAATATGTGTGCAGGAGCTGGACTGGTGTTTATTATCTATCCAGAAGCGATTTCAACTCTACCTGGATCTACATTCTTCGCAATAGTCTTTTTCATTATGCTTCTAACTCTTGGAATTGACAGCTCTGTGAGTACAAATGAATCTTGTTATTGTCTAGATTCAGATTATTTTGTATTTGTATGGTAAAGACAGAGCATACTAAGAGTTCTTTTTGATAAAAACAACTTTTTACTTGACAGCGCCGTCTCACATGACATTGAAAAGACAAAAAACAAACAACAAATATGCTAATAATTAATACTACAACTAAAAAAGTGTTGCTTTAAAAAATGTTGCCTATCTTTAGGAGTAAAATTTTCTTCCTTTTATTTGATGTACTGTTTAGATGGGTGGCATGGAAGCAGTAATCACTGGGCTTTCAGATGACTTCAAAATCCTCAAGAGGAATAGAAAGATATTTACATTTGCTACAGCATTTGGGACATTCCTAGTAGCCATTCTGTGCGTCACAAACGTAAGTCTGTTGGGTCTGTGTCATTTAATTTTGAGTCTAACAATTGCTTTAGTCAACACTATGTTTGGGCAGCATCACAATATGAAAATACACCTGTTGATATTTGTTTTTTGTCACATTATAAATATCAAATTGACAAAATTATACATTGTACATATTGTGCTGTTTTTACTGCATAATAATTATTCATTGTCTTTAGATTCAGTGATGTCATCCATGTGATTGTATCAATTGATGGTTTACAGTCAAAATAAGAAATGATCATTGTGTTTTGTGAATAAATTTGAATGTGAATATTTACATCAAGAGCAGGAAAAACATTTATATGATTACATCATGAGCAGGCAAAATACACAATATAAAATTACATTCAAACAATATGATGATGAATGAATCAATAAAAGTGCTTTATTCAGCAGCATTTGTCTTGTATCTCGGTCATGACAGGGAGGGATCTATGTGTTGACCTTGTTGGACAAGTATGCTGCAGGGACATCCATTCTATTTGGGGTGCTGATTGAGGCCATTGGAGTATCTTGGTTCTATGGTAAGCAGATACATTCATACATTAATGTTTATAGACCGTTCTACTACTGACCCAAACTAATTCACATTTACATGGATGTTGCATGAACCATATAATGATGATCCATCCATGTAATCTGTATGTTCAGTCATGTTTTCCCAAATCATTTCGTACATCTACTAAAATTATTGTGGTTTGCAGTTTTACAGCACACTGGTGTTGTGCGTATACCTGCGTATACCTTGTCATACCTGTTTCTCAGTCTTACTCAAGGGATTCCTCTGCATCATAGATTTTAGATTTTGGCAGTGTAGCTAGATGGCTGGTTCAGGATCCTGGAGGCATCTTTCTCCACAGACAACTAATCAAAAGTAGCTGTATATGTAGACAAATATATCCACTATTATTTTTCTTTGCAGTTATTTACAACCAAAAAAGTTGATTAATTGCATGTATTTTAAAGCTTTGCAAGTTAAACGTTTTATTCGCACGCTGTTCTGACGTGCTTTTCTGAGTGTGTACACCCGAAGCGCAAATTATCTTTTTGTGTCTTATTGCGCTTAAACTGTCAAATACATAGGTTTACATAAACAATGAAGTGCAGTTTTCATAAACATAAATCTTGATAAATTCATGATAAAATCATGATAAAATCGTGAATCGAGTTTTTTCAGAAAATAATATTTTAGTTCCATATCAGCCATCCCTAGTATGCCCCCAGATGAGTGTAGTTTTTGCATCGTCCAACAGCATTGAGAAAGATAAGCATTTATCTCATCAATGTGTATATATACAGTAAATTATTATTCCAAAGCATATGTAGTTCTAGTTGTGGCAGACAACCCATGTAAGGAATGGGAGGACATATATTATAGTCCCACTATGTTTGATTTTTTTAATTGTTTGTTTACTTTCAGATGGATTATCTGTAAAATTATTTTGACAATAACTCTTGAAAGATTCTTGGCTACTTCATAAATAAAAGCATCTGTAACTCCCCTCAGAGCAAACATGTACAAATAGTTCAAAGCCTCAGAATTAAAAAATGTCAAGATTATCGGCACTGCCTTCCGTGACTTTGCTTCCTGACATCGAACGCTTTTCATATCTCCTTTAAATTACATTACATAATGTAACACTTGAACACAGTTCTGTCTAAGATTACAGTACAGAAAGTTCAGATCATCATCAATATTGTAAGAAGAGAAGCCACAATTCAGAGAAAGTTCTCAGGTTATTTTATCTTAAAATGATGTCCAGATGCTGCTCATTTCTTTGTGTGTTTGTCTCTCAGGCGTGGATAGATTTAGTGAGGACATTGAACGCATGATGGGCTTCAAACCAGGAATCTACTGGAGGCTCTGTTGGAAGTTTGTCAGTCCAGTATTCTTATTGGTGAGTGAAATAGAACGAACATAAGACCTGATGTCTGACAAATCTGATTCTTTTGTACAGAATGGTGACTTCCTAACTTCTATTTTCTGTGCAGTTTGTGGTGATCGCCAGCATTGTTACCTCCGGCGAGCTGAAATATGATGATTATACTTTCCCTTACTGGTCCAATATTGTGGGCTGGTCCATAGCCTTGTCCTCTATGCTTTTTGTACCCATCTACGCCATCTACAAATTCCTTAGTGTGCCAGGCTCATTAAAAGAGGTAAGCAAACACATACACTCGTGTTTACTTAGCTATCTAAATGGGGACATAAACTTTTGTTTTTGCATACAGCAAGTTATAGAACTCACATCCTAATAATAACAGAAAACTTTATACATTCTTACAATTTTAAAAGTTATGTAAACACACACACACAAATCAAATCAGATTACAGTAAGTTTTACACACCCCTTTACTTTCACTCACTAGAAAGAATGCTGGATAGATAAACTTCCAGCAGATCCTCCAGTAGATTCCTTGTTTGATTCTCATCATGTGTTCAATGTCCTTAATAAATCTGTCCTCGACTTACATCTGCTTCATGAATTTGTGTGGTCTTAGAACTGTGAGAATTTCATCAGTAAATGCGTCACTTCCCACAGCCACAAACATGCTACTGGCATCTGGCTGAGTGCTTTCACACTCATATTTTCCACAAGCGGCTTTATACCTTAAATGGTTTCAGAGATCATCTAACACATGAAGAATAAAATGCCACATTGCCATATGTTTCGAAGCAGATAATTGCATTTTTGTTTAGCTTTGTGGTTCATTATTGCTGTGCGTTTATGCCTGCTAATGTAGTTCACTTTGTGCTTTGAATGTCTTCCATTCCAGAGGATAGCGTACTGCATTACTCCAGAGCATGAACATCACATGGTGGCTGAGGGTAATGTCAGACAGTTCAAGGTAAGACCTCGGCGCAACCCTTTACAATGAACAGTTTACCAGTATTTTGCAAAGAGGGCCTAGCCCTTTTGCAAAACAAACATCCATTCATTTTTCTGTTGTCCTTTTTGTCTTGTTTTTTTCCAGCTCAGACATTGGCTATCCATCTGATGAAGGGGTCAGATGGGAGTTCCCTCTCAAATGCTACTTGAATGCTGGAGATGAAATGATGTGTGTGAGAGAGAAAGGTTTCTGCAAAGGTGTCTTACTGAATGAAAAGTGTCACCTGAGAAAAGGACAGAATGAAGCCATGGCTTTGTGTGTTTCCCATCCAGTACAGTTACTGTCCAGTCTGCTCCATTTGTGTTCAGTGGTTGACTTGGCTTTTTTATATTGTTGGGCAAAATAAATGTTGTGCCTGTACTTTTTTTTTTAATCACACCCTTTATTCTAAACACCTCTCAGACCTCAAACACCTTCAAAACAGTTCTTTTTTTGTTTGTTTCATAACATTTTCTTTTTATAAATCATTTTTTTTTTTGGTTCTAGAATTGCCTTTCTGTGATGGTTATAGGTCAGTTTTGGTGAAAATGTAATACACACTGAAGCTATATTATCCTCTATGCCTGGGCAGTTGAATGTGTGTTTATATGGATTAAGTGGGGTGTAACAGGTTCACGTGCACCCCAGATTTAAGGTTTACTGTAAGTGGACACACTGAGAAAAGGAAACCTCCTGGATATTCCAGGAAATCTTTCACGCCGTATAACAGGCTTGGGTCATTGCTACAGTACAGTATATGTTAGCATGCAGCTGTGAGTTTCTCACATTTTACCTTGTTTCCCAAGAATGGTTTGTTTTGCAACAGCTGGCTTACATCAAGGGTCCACCTAGAATTATCTCAAGCACATCTTTTCCATTTTCGACACACCTCTCAAAGCAAGACATACACCACTGTGTCAGTGCCTTATCTAGCCATAAACTTCCTGTCATTAAGCCTCTCATCCCTGTGAAGAGAGTGCAGGGACGTTCTTTATAACTAACATCTCATTGAGAAAGAGTCTCAATTAACTCCATGCCAAGGGAAATTTATAATTGTAGTTTTCAAAGTAAACTAGTGAATTGAGCTTCAAGTAGAGCTCTTTTTTTTGTTATATTTGTATAAAGGGGATTTTTAGTTTTTTGGATCAATATTTTAAGCTTTAACTATGGCCTTGGGTTAGAGAAACAATTATCATTAGGACCAATTAGCTAACTTATTGTATGTTAATAACTTTTTTGAAACATATAACAAAAAAACACAGACAACATTTTGAACTTAAGGACTTGTTGAAGTCCAGCTGACCATGTAAAGCTTACAGTACTAGTGTTTGAATACGCTTGGCAGTGGTTTAGCTCATTTAATTCGAATTGTGTTTGATTTAACAAAAGTTTCATTGAATATCTATTAACACTGGCAATTCTATTTATTGAGCTCTTGTGGTACAGTCCCATTATCAAGTGGTCCCTTTGAACATTTCAAGCCTTTTATGGGTTGTGTGTGTGTGTGTGTGTGTGTGTGTCTGTGTGCGAGTTATAGATAACAGATTAGGTTTCTTAGGTTTTCAATGTTTTAACATTTTTTTAAGTGCCGAAATTAACTCACGTCATGTTTGTTTGTGCTTTATTTATTTGTGTTGGATAATTTTGCATACAAAAATAAAAAAAAAATAAAAAAAAGACAGAAAACATGATTCTGGTAGGAAGCAGGCAACATATGTGGATTATGAAATATAAAGAGATAAAAATATATTCTTTTGTCATATATCTAAAATTGTATTATCAAATTCTTTATAAAATGTGAATGTTAAACATTTTAAGCAAAGTGTCTACTGTTATATCATGCTGTGTGATGTTGGTTAAGATATAAATATTCAGAAATGTATTATTCCGTGTAACCAGGGGTGACATAACCACGTGAATGTAAACGGAGCAGCTCTGGCATTTCTGAGTGATGCTTACAGAATAATGTGTACAACTACAAACTTGTCCTTTTTTTGTGATTGACAAATATATATGAAGTCAAAATATGCACATTATAACAATAAAGTCCTTTCCAGTACACAAATAAAATACAAATACGTGTTTTGTCTTCTTAATGGAGAATTTCCAGTTGTTTTGTTTTTACCATACACACTTGACAGTGCTCATCTTTTTGTGGCCCTTGGTTATATTGATGAGAGACTAAACCAGTGTTATGTCCTGCTGAGCACAGACTTAGTTTTCTGGCTCTCACATTCTGCTTTTTGTCTGTTCTGTTTATCCGTGTTTTGCCGGATGTAAGTCGAACCTCAGCTTGACAGAAGCCGAGCGTGTCACACATTGCCCCTGAGCCTTCACTGTAATTCATAACCTGGAAGATTCTCCTCTTCAATTAAAGGTTCTATAAGCGATGCTGGGCCAAAACATTTTTTGTCACATACATCAAACGTCTCCTCACTATCGGCTAGCTGCCTGTCCCCTAAACACACTGTAAAAAAACGCGGTCTCTGTAGACACCACAGGCTCCACAAACGGCAACAAAAACAATCATGTCTTACCCGGACCACGAAACCTAACAAACAGTGTTCCAGCCAATCACTGGCAAGAAGTATTTGAGGGTGGGTCTGGGGGGTTAGTGCGCGTGCACATGAAGGGTGTGTGTGTGTGAAGGAGAGCAGCGAAGCATCAGAGGGAAGTTTGAAAAATTACCGACACACGACCAAAGAGACGTCGTTCTGAGGAACAAATTAAAAAGAAGTCGGATAAAGAATGTGCGAAGTTCCGAATTTACATCGGTAGCAAAGCTTTTGAACGATGGCGAGAACTCAGGCGGCAGAAGGGCTTACAGTCCGACATTCAGGTTGCTCTATTTTTGCTTGACAGGTAGGTAACGTTAAATTGTTTTTTTTCTTCTAAATTGACGCTTATGTTCGCCAAACCCACACAAGGATATAATTAGCTAGAACTATGCATGTTCACAATTATTTCAGGAAGCACGGAAGGGAGGGGGGGGAGATGAGATGCGGAGGAGGGAGGGTCTAGCTCCGATTTGTTTGAAAATATTCGAACGTCAACGCACAGGATCGCTTTGAGAACCTTTAAGGTTGGTGCCAGATGGATTAACCGATCCATTGTGGTACTCATAATATCCACCGAACAGTGTAACATTCCAGTCAGTTTAACTGTTTTGAACAATTAGTTTGTGCAATACATACACTAAACCAAGTATTTTTATGAACTAAAAAAAACTGCAGAGCTTTGATCATAAAACTAAGAATTTAAATATAATCTAAGATATACACTCACCTATAGGATTAATAGGAACACTACACTAATATGTGTTTGACCCACTTTCATCTTCAGAACTGCCTTAATTCTACGTGGCATTGATTCAACAAGGTGCTGAAAGCATTCTTTAGAAATGTTGGCCCATATTGATTGTATAGCATCTTGCAGTGGATGGAGATTTGTGGGATGCACATCCAGGGCACGAAGCTTCTGTTCCACCACATCCCAAAGATGCTCTATTGGGTTGAGATCTGGTGACTGTGGGGGCCGTTTTAGTACAGGGAACTCATTGTCATGTTGAAGAAACCAATTTGAAATGATTTGAGCTTTGTGACATGGTGCATTATCCTGCTGGAAGTAGCCATCAGAGGATGGGTACATGGTGGCCATAAAGGGATGGACATGGTCAGAAACAATGCTCAGGTAGGCCGTGGCATTTGAACAATACCCAATTGGCACTAAGGGGCCTAAGGTGTGCCAAGAAAACATCCGCCATACCATTACACAACCACCACCAGCCTGCACAGTGGTAACAAGGCAGGATGCATCCATGTTCTGTTTACGCCAAATTCTGACTCTACCATCTGAATGTCTCAACAGACATCGAGACTCATCAGACCAGGCATCATTTTTCCTGTCTTCAACTCTCAAGTTTTTTGTGAGCCCTTGCAAATTTTAGCCTCTATTCCCTACTTGTTTTGGAGATGAGTGGTACCCGGTTCTGCTGTTGTAGCCCATCCGCCTCAAGGTTGTGTGTGTTGTGGGTTCACAAATGCTTTGCTGCATACCTCGGATGTGATGAGTCTAAGTTGCTCTTCTATCAGTTTGAATCAGCCGGACCATTCTCCTCTCACCTCTAGCATCAACAAGGCATTCTCTCCCACAGGACTGCCGCATACTGGATGTTTTTCCCTTTTCACACCATTCTTTGTAAATCCTAGAAATGGTTGTGTGTGAAAATCCCAGTAACTGAGCAGATTGTGAAATACTCAGACTGGCCCTTCTGGCACCAACATGCCACACTCAAATTTGCTTAAATCACCTTTCTTTCCCATTCTGACATTCAGTTTGGAGTTCAGGAGATTGTCTTGACCAGGACCACACCCCTAAATGCATTGAAGCAACTGCCATGTGATTGGTTGATTAGACAATTCCATTAATGAGAAATTGAACAGGTGTTCCTAATAATCCTTTAGGTGAGTGTATTACTTAGATATTATGCATTTTATGCAAGTAACCTGCTGAAGATCTCTGATTTACATTATATCAGAATGTCATCTTCATGTTTCGCCATAAAAATATCAGCAACTGCACGAAATTTTAGATTTTTGCTCCATTTGGAGCCATAATATCCTGATGCATGATGCTCAAAAAAAAAATAAATATATTGTCTAAAGGTTCAATTAGCGGTTCCATTTTTTTTCCCACAGTTCCCCATCATTAAACAGAAGAAGATTTTTCTGACTGTGTCTGTGAGTGACTTAGGCTTTACAGGGTTATCTACATTCTGGAATACATGAAGGAAAAAATACAAAAAAATATAACAAGAAAATTTAATTTCATCTAGTTGATACACCATGATATTTGGGATACACTGTGCAAAATGTATGTTAGGGAGATTTAGGAAGTAGAGTTTCTAGAAGGACTGAAGAGTCCTGATTCTTTCTCTCTTTTCTCAGACACTCATGCACACAGTATGTAATCTTACAAGACAAATGAAACAATGTCCCCTTTGACCTTGTATTGAGAAATTACAAGGTTATAATGATTTGCTTATAACGAAAAAAAGTGGGAACGACACCAATTAGTCTGAAAGACAAACGGACATGAGCAGGAGACAGCAGGAATTAAGTGCCTGAAAGGAGATTAAAGGGTTTATTCTGCTTCAGTTTGTCTAATCTTGGGACAGAATATAATGAATGAACGAGAGAAACGACAAGCTTCTGCAACTGAGAGATAAACACAGACTGGAAGAGACAGGGAGAACATTGCATAAAGAAAAACATGAAGAAAACTCAAGACAACAAACATGAGAGGATCCGGTTGTGCATGCGAGAATGTGAAACTCCAGCATGTACACTAATATGAACTGCAAACTGTACTGAAATGCCACAAATCAGCGAGGCTGGAGAAAAAATATCTCTCCATCTCTGCTTACAGTAAACGTCCTAAATAAGCAAAGGTAATGGGTCACCAATGCTTTAACTATCCCCTGCAGAGTGTCCGTGTCTGTAAACGAGGCACTGGAGTCAGATTACTGGATAATTGCTTTTCAAGATTTTCAGATTTAGGCAAACAGCAGCAAGACTTACACTGATTTATAATTTAAACTGCGTGAGTCAGAATTTCATAAGTGGAGCAGTAGACCAAACAGCAAACAAATGTTTTTGATAAACTCTGTAAACTATAATTCATGTGAATAGAGCTGTTTAAAGAAACTTTACTACAGACTAGATCGCAGATCTTCAGAATGTCTTGTGTTTCCTAGAATAAGGCTATTTAAACTGAGGATGAATTATATGAATTCAGCTGCAGGATATCTTGTATTTTATTTTATTTGTGTTTTGTACATCCTCCTAAACTCAGTTATTCCAGTCTGTGTATCCTCTACTGATGAGAGGGAGATGACCTGTTCTGAATTTCCGCACTCTGTTCCCCCAGCGCTCCTGATACAGATAGATATTCAGTGCTGATAACACGTTCTCCTACCTCTTTCCTTATGCTTATGTCTTTCTTTCTCTTCTCTGCCCCACTCTTATTCATCTTATCTGTTGTGGTCTGCCCTGTGTTCTTGCTTAATGCACCAAAAAGGTCAAAACCACAAACTTTCATCAGATTTGCTTAGCCAATAAAAGTCAAGCCGGCTCTCCACAGACAGCCGCCTAATTGCAGACTCTCTGCAGCAGTAATGCAATTAAAGAGGTTTTTTGGTTGTCTTCATATTAAGGACCTTGTTCTCTCTTTGTAATCCAATTGCTGAAGATTAATCAATGTGACCACATTGATAAAATATATACTTTCTGTCGACAGCCAGAGAAGACCTAAATCCGCCAAATGAGACAGAGAGTGTGTTGTTGTCCGGAGAAGATTAATTCAACATTTAGCCAAAGCCAAAATGAAAAACCCTGCTGACAAGAAACGTTTCAGTGGTAAATCATCTCTTGATCATTCCTCTCATTATTTTTAATTACACAGATTCTAATTTCCCACAAATTTCCGATTTAAGCACCTCTAACAAATGATCACCTTAACATGCAGCACTCAGAATCGATACCCTCTGAATGGGTAAACAATATGGCATCAACTATGCGCATCTGACACTGCAAGAAAAAGGTTCATTCAATTTAATTAAAAATAATAATAATAATTAAAGCTGCAAGCAGCATTTAGCGGGGTTCAAGCAGCTTAGGCCTTTAAGGCCTTTAAGCACAAAAGCATCAAAAGACATTAAGTTTTAAGTTTCAATAATGGCAATTTACCATAGGGTATACATTGTTTTTAACATTTTTAACAGTTATAGCGCCACCTATAGTCCGATCTCCATGAAACTTTGCATGCTTGTTGAATAAGCTATGACACATGTGCTCATCAATTTTTGTGAAGTTCTGACTTTTCCTTTAGGATTTATAGGCTTTTGGGTGCATTTTGTCATGCCCCCTTTTGTAAATGACCCTGTTATAGCAAAACAAATAACAAAGTTCAACATTTTTTTGATAATTATTGATCTAGAGAGTCCAAAGAATTGTCCTAGACTGGTCTGGTTCCGATCGGGCAAAAAACCAGGGACTAGTTCGCAAAAATAGGTTTTTAACATATTCGTGAATATTTAACGAACAATTTGATTGACAGCAATGGTTCTGGAGGCAAAGTTGTTTGTCATGAGGAGATCTATCAAATGCAATTGCATTTCGTGGGGATGTGAGCAACACCACATGATTACAGAGCCAAAAATCTCGTTAGC